CCCCCCGCCCGGGATATCTCACCTCCAGCCCCACCTTCTTCAGGCGCCTTATTTATCTCAATAAAGTTAAGTACAGACATAAATTCAAGCCTCTCAGATTAAATAAAACTAAATTTAACAGAAAACACACTCCCGAGTTCCGTGCCCGCCCTTATCCCCTCCCTTCGGCTCACCCGCACACTCTCGTCCTCTTCCCCCTGCCCTTCTCCTGCCGCTACCGCCGCCTGCCCTTCCCAGACCGTTCTCCAGATCCTGCTCACCCAATAATAGTAGACGTTGCTTTCAGCCACAGCCAATAGGCAACCTCTTCTTTGCCAAGGTCGGGCGGCTAAAGTGCCGCCATCTCTGCTGAGGGCACACAGGGGTGGCAATGCTGGTTGCGTTGCAAGAAAAGTGGTGTGGGCGCCATCTTGAGTAAGGGAAAAAGTACCGCTGAAGTTAAAGGGTCCGTCGTTTTTGGCAAGGGCAAAAAAATTTAAATCAGAAAGACGTATTAGTCGGCGGCCATCTTGGATCAGGGCAGATTATACTTGACGCCGGTTCGTTCGCCACCATTTGAAGGGTGGGTCAGAAACGGAAAACTTGAAAGGGGTCCGCGGTAAACAATACTAAGGTGTTTTCCCGCTTCAGAAAGATGATCTTGTTATCATGCAACTGAAATTACTCCCATTTTTGCGGAAAAACCCTGGATTCGTCACTTTTGTCCTTAAAATCTGACGCCCATCCGTAGGAGCGTTTCAGTGGAAAGCTTTAAAAACAAAAAAAACAACGGCAGGCGAAGGGTCAAAAATCCAATTCTGGCTGGGACAATACAGAATTTTCTTCCAGATGCAGCTTCGCTGCTATTAAATTCCCAACCCCCCTTGTTAACATTCCCAACCAAAACCCAGTGAAGCATCAAAATGTTCCTCGATTGCTGAAGTCCTTCTCAAAAGTAATGTAGTTTTTTTAAGAAAAAAAATCTCGTAACATAATGAATGTAACTACCGAATGAATGAATGAATGTTCTTGTCTTCCTAGCATGCCTGAATACAGGAATTCTGTGATGTGGAGTCAGTAAAGATGGGAAATAGTGTCAAACAGCACGGTGGGGGGCATAGCCGTTTAATGTTTACACCGTTATTATCAAATCGTTTTAATAAAATATTATTTACATGCTTTTAAATGCCACTAGACGGTAGGAATAGCCTTAACAACTGAAAGAATGCAACCTGCACTTTTACTTTTCCTTCCTTGTAAGGAAGCTTAAAAACTTATCTTTACATACCCAGAGGACTCCAAGAGTGACCCCTGCAACCAGCACCCATTCGATTATGATGATGATGCCAAAAAAACCCTCTTGATCTTCTAATTGTATGGATCCTCTTTGTATCAACTACCTTTTCCCTCTTTCATTCCTGGAACTCATTCATTCTTTCTCTTCTCTTTCCCCAGAATCCATTTCGTTTGCTTCTCTCCTCCTCTCCCAATTCACTCCCCCTTCTTTATAAAAAAAATAATAAATCTCCCCATTTTGGAAAAACTACATCTCCCAGAATGCTCTGCAAGGATAGCATTCTTTCCCGCAGTCCTTTGCAATCGCCGTTGCAAGTGAGGTATCCTTGGATGCCTATCTCCTCCGTCTAGCTCTTGCTATGGAGGCTGCAGCTCCCTCAGCTGCCTCATGCCCCTCTCTGTGGCTTGGAGGTCTAGCTGAGGGTCCTTATATTTTCTCTTGCCTCTCGGCATGCCTGCTGGTGGATCAATAGTGCTTAGTCCAGGTAAGGTTGTGGAACCTTGGGAAAAGAGGTATAACGTTTTCCTGATTTCTTTTTTCTTTTTCTTGGCTGAGCAGCCTTCCTCCTCCCTCCTGTCTGTCCTACCCAGTTGTTTAAATGTATATGGATATATGCTGACCCAGCCTAGGGAATTGAGGAACCAGAAAACTCTTCTTTGATAAATGTAAGATTATGGCACACCAGAGGCTAACAGTAATTCAAAAAACAAACAAACGACTTTATTTCACTTTTAAAGGGGAAATGGCCAGGTAGGTGTTGGGTTTAAACTTGGCAGGTGAACAGGCAACAGGAATGAGGTAACTTTGTATAGCTATGAACAACAGATAGTTTGTCACAAGCTTGTCACAAAGTTGCTGTTTGGTTCTACAGACAGGTCTTTAAAACTGTGGAGAGAGTTTTTGATAGTCACTGCTTAAATAAACAGGCATAGAATCATAGAGCTGGAAGGGACCTCCAGGGTCACCTAGTCCAACTCCCTGTACAAAACTTCTTAAGTCTGTGAAGGAAGGAACATACTGGTTCCAATTTTCTTAACACTTGGTAGGGATCACCCCCCTTTACGTGGAGCTGTTTCTCTCAGGGCAAGACTACTGGTCCCACTTCCCTAATTCAGGATCCTTCTTGATCCTTTCACTCTGCTTAACTGAATTAACTGCCACTCTTAATGGCCACTCTCAACTGTAGAATTCAATTGGAATCCTCTGTCAATCAAGGTTTTCTGACCAGGCTAACACATTAAACATTCACTGTCCATTACAGGGGGTCATAGACCAGGGCTTAATGTCACTTGAGGAATCTATCTCAGAACATGTTTCCCATGCCTGATCTAAAGTTTGAATGAATGGTTCTCTCATTTGCTTCTTGTAGTGGGGAATGGGAGGTATGGACTCATAAGTGTGTGTGTGTGATGAGAAAGAGAAACATCCACGTAAAATAATGATGCTGTTCTGGATAACACTGATAAAAATTCATACTAACTAGAGGCTGTTCGATATCCACAAAAGCTATACCTTCCCAGGTATTTGTTATTCCCATTTTCTTTCAAAGATTTTTTTTGATTTGGAAGTCTTGTATCACATTGCCAATGCATGAGTATGCACAAAACAGTATCTGCAAGGAGGAAGCTGTTGGCACTTCTCTCTTACCCACGGGGAGGACGGGAATGCTCTGTTTCAGCACAGGAAGTTTAATAATGTGATGGCCAAACCTCTTTTCTGTTCACAGCACATGGAACAAATCCTGCCTGGGTTTTGTCTCTCCCAGCAGAAAATAAGAGCAAAGCAGAAAGTTCACAGGAAGAAAGTGCAGGGCATCACGGGGTGTCCTCGAGTGTTCCCAAATGGGAAGGAGATAATGGGATCCAGCAAGGATACCCTGCAGAGAACCAACTGGCTGTACATAAAGGAAAGCTCAAGGATCCCACGGGGTCCCTGTGTGGCAAGTCTAAATCCTACAGATGCTCTGATTGTGGGAAGAATTACCGCAGGAACACAGATCTCTTAAGACATCAGAGGACCCATACTGGAGAAAAGCCTTACCTGTGCCTCGAATGCGGGAAGAGCTTCAGTCGAAGTTCAATCCTCCTTGAGCACCAGAGGATCCATACAGGTGAAAAGCCATACAAATGCAGCCATTGTGGGCAAGGGTTTAGCCAGAGCTCCAACCGGAACCAGCATGAGAGGATTCACAGCAAGGAGAAAAGGACTGGCCCAGCATGTTGGGGAAATAATTGGCAAAGGACAGATGACCGGAAGGGCGGCTCTGCAAGCGTGATGGCAACTGACAAGGGTTTGGGGGCTGAGCCGGGACCTGGAGGGGCATCTCAGTTGCCTGGGGAAAACCTCTCTTGGAGCGCGAAGATGTTGAAGTACCAGAGGCACCGCTTGGTTGAGAAGCCCTACAGCTGCCCACAGTGCGGGAAATGCTTTGCGCACAGCACGGATTTCATCCGGCATCACATCACTCACACGGGAGAGAAGCCCTACACCTGTGGGGAGTGTGGCAAGAGTTTTACACGCAGCTCTGTCCTCACCGAGCACCAGCGCATCCACACAGGTGAAAGGCCCTACAAGTGCAGGCTGTGTGGGAAGGGCTTCAGTCAGAACTCTAACCGTAAGCAGCACGAGACAATCCACCGAGCTGAGAAACCTTCCAAGCCTCCTAAAAGGCAAGGAAACATTAAATCGGGGGCTGGGATTCATTAGGCAACAGAGAATCCACTCTGCTGGTAGGAAAACCTGACAAATCCAAGAAGCATTCAAAGTGAATTTAAATCTACTAGGAACGCAGGAATCCGAAGTGGGAAGGAAAGCCTTATTGCAGTGTGGGGATTTGCTCTTCTTTTTGGGAAGGGGGAGGCAAGGGGGAACTGCCATTATCTGAAAACCAAGTATTCTTCTTACAGAAATCACAGGCAAGATGCATCTTTGGACAGCATTATTATTAAGGGGGAAACAAAGCCTTTATTCCAGATACGCTTTCATTGAACATGTCTCGAACACAAGATCATCTCTTTAATAATATGTTCGGGAGAGGCTGCCTTCACACACATTGTATGCATTCCAAGCCTATGCATATTTAGTCAGAGGTGAATCTCACTACCTGGCACTTCATCCCATAGAACTGAGCTTATTAGAAAACAGGTCCAGGTGTGTATTTTTTTTTAAATGAGGACATGTCACCAGAATGTGGTGTGGAGTATTTTTTGTCTTTGTTATCTGGTTATGATTACTGAGGCTTATGATGATGATGATGATTTATGAATCGCCCAGTCCCTGCTATTGCAGGGCTCTAGGTGATGTACAACATATAAACATATATCAAAGTCATAAAAACAGAATGTACAAAAAAAATTCATAGGGTGGGCACAGTGAAAATTGTTACTTAGCCACATTCTTTAAAAGTTGATGGATGTGTATTGCTTGACTGTTTTCCATGCAGTCTGCTACAGAAGATTGTCCAAGAAGGTGGAACAATCACAATACATTCAACGATCATACACTTGGTGCTCCATTTCTTGGGAGGTTTTTTTTTATTGAGGGGGGGGGGGGCTAGTTAAAGAATCATATACATTTGTGCACTGTTAGCTGGACCAGGAGTCTTGCTTCCTGGCCACTGTCCTTTCCTCGCCCCCTCTTACTGGAACCTCTTCTCTCGCCGTGAATTTGTACTCTGGAAGCCATGCAATTTGGTCTTCTAATGCAGGGGGTCACCAGCCTTTTTTTGAGCCTGCATGTATCTTTGGACTTCTCAGACAGCTTGGTGGGTTGCAGCCACAAAATGGCCGCTGCAGGAGGTAGAGCCAGCAACACAATAGCTGCCCCGGCTTACTTTCAGAGATGAAAAATAAGGCAAAGGCCAATAGTGCAAAATAAAGTAAAAATCATTCCTCAGTTAAAATTACCAACATTCCCCATGCATTTAGCCAGTAGGCTTTTCCAGGGGAATCCGTTAGTCTTGCAGTGATTCTTCAAAAAGAGTACAAGATCAGTGGCCCTTCCAATCTCCTGCCTGCTTTGTAGCCACAAGTCCTTCACCTCAATTCAGTTAATCAGAACACCATTCTCCACCACCACTCCCATTTTCACCAGGAGTATATATACATTCTCCTGTTCACATGTCTACATAGTGCATTTTCTGACCGTCTGATCCGCAGTGACATCTGGGTAGGATATAATTGGCTCAGCTGCATCTCTTACTCCCACTGCCAGAGATCAATATCGGCCATGGGAAGTGAGATGCATATTTGCACATAGTGGCATAGGATTGTGCGGCTGAAGGCACACTTGATCAGCGGTTTGTCCAGACACCTCTACACTGATTTTATACTGCACTAATCAACAGAACCTGAGCACCTGAGCTTTCCTACTGCCCCCTTATACACCCTGCATTTAAAAGATGCTGTCTCTCAGATGAATGGTCCAGCTATTCCTGCATCCTCCTGGATAGCTCCAAATGCTACAGTACAAGCCACAAGGTCTTGGTTGGGCATCCTGTGCCTTTTATCAGGGAGAAATTCATTAAGTGCAGCTTGTCTTAACCGCTGTAGCCTTGTGGGGAAATGTACACTGGAGGAATGCAGGAGCTTCTGTCCGGGAAAGAGCTGAGGTTCCAAATGGTCAGACGCTCTGTTGTCCCTTCCTCCCCCAACTAAGGGTTAAAAACTATGGGGAGAGGGAAAGATGAAGGGATGTTTATTTACCTTTTGCTACCTATTTTTAAAGGGATAAACCTTTCTAGTGATTTAGAGGGGAGAAATTGCACATCTGTATCCAGAGTATTTAAACGCAGAAATAATTTGACACAAGGAGTCCATCAAGGTTGGCTGCCTATCTTTAGTGAGTGCATACACAAAACAAGAGGTTGGATAGGGGCACCTCCTATGCCTAAAGAAATGGTTGCTGGTGGAAGGGAACAGACTGTTTAGGGAGGTGAAAAGGGTCTCCCCAAATACTGATTCCAACAAACCTTCAGTGTGGTCTTGAATATCAAAGACACGAAGAGAGCCATCTCCTTTGGGGGCTGGGGAAGCTTTGTGGCCCTGGAAAGAGGCCACAGTTGCCATACTGAACCATGTGTCAGCCTATAAAAAGTGCCAGCGCCTAGGCCTCCCTGGAAAGGAAACCTTTTGCCCTGGGATACTGTGTTGGGTGAAATTAAACAGAAGTCACTTCTTTAGATACACTGAAACAGAAGTTATCAGTCCATATGTACGGAAAGAGGCCACAGTTGCCATACTGAACCATGTGTCAGCCTATAAAAAGTGCCAGCGCCTAGGCCTCCCTGGAAAGGAAACCTTTTGCCCTGGGATACTGTGTTGGGTGAAATTAAACAGAAGTGGAGGAGTGTTTTCTTCCTCTCCCATAATATTAGAACTAGGGGACACCCAATGAAATTGATGGCAATAAATTCAGGACAGACAAAAAGAGGTGTTTCTGCATGCAGCTGAAGATAGATTCAGGTGGGTAGCCGTGTTGGTCTGAAGCAACAAAACAAAAAGCCCAGCAGCACCTTTAAGACCAACAAAGTTTTATTCAAGGTATAAACTTCCGTGTGCAGGCACACTTCTTTAGATACACTGAAACAGAAGTTATCAGTCCATATGTACAGGTAAAGGGTGAGCAGCAAATTAGCGTACAACATAATGAAGATGTGTAACAGATACAAACACCAAACAGGAAAAAAACAAGCTTAGTTTATATTTGGATTTAATTCCTGAGGAAAACATAGTGAAGCAAATAAATATATCAAAATTGATGTGGGACGGAGGTAACTGACAGCATTCTTTTCTTTAAGGTGTGTTGATTGGTTGTAGAGTGTTATGTCTCCGCTGTCACCAGACCAGAGAAATACATTATCTATCATTCCAAATTACATCACATTCTACTATTCATTGCAGTACATCACAATCACTATTCCAATCTACTGTTCCAGATAAGAAATACAATAAAATAAAGAGGATGTATGGCCATGCTGGCTCAGAGGTTAAGACGCTGAGCTGCAGACCGGAAGGTCGGTAGTTCAGCAGTTTGAGACCCTAGTGCTGTGTGACGGAGTGAGCTCCTGTCTCTTGCCCCAGCTCCTGCCAACACAGCAGTTCGAATACAAGAAATTGCAAGTAGATAAATAGGTACCACTTCGGTGGGACGGTAACAGCGTTTAGTCATGCCGGCCACATGACCACGGAAACATATTCAGACAG